GGAAGCTTATTTACAACGGAGTACTAAATGAACATCCATAATATAATATATTTATAACACTAATCGTATTTTCAGACAACGAAAAGGGAGTAATTTGTAACATTGGCAAACTCCATTGGGAAAAATTGTCAATTTTGTATACTATTTAAAATTATTCAATTTTGTCCTCTCTTAGTTTTTTGGTCTAATATTACCGTCTTGGTCTTGCTAGAAAATAGAGCAATTTCAAATAGTACAGGAGCAAATTTGGATATTTCCCTAAGTTTAAGTACTAAAGTGACCCGTAATGACTCATACATATTTTTGGGAAGTTTTGTATTGATTGGTTATTGTTATTGCACGAAATCCTAAAAAATTGCCTTCAAAATCGACTGTAAAGAAATCCAAGAAAATTTGTGGGTTATACACCCTTTACGATTCTTCATCATTACCCACTATGAGTCTTACAGAATTCGCCATGGTAAGTAATTTCTCACCCCCATGATTTATGAAAATTATGTTCTTTTTATTTAATTGATTGATTATTTGTAAAAATCCTGAGGTTGGGGTAAGTATAAGTGTGAGATTTAATTGAATTGTGGAATTTTTTCTTCTTTGAATTTACAAGTTATTACCCGTACTGAAAATTGGTGTTTGATTTAGGGTTTATTGTTGGTTCAGGGGGAATGATTCATCTGTAAAAATATGTTTATCCTTAGTATTTTGTGGGAAAAGGCAGTAATTGGTAGTTTAATTTTCAGTAAGATTGGAGAAAGTTGTTGTGTTAGAAGAAATTAGTAAAAATTATTTCAAGAGTACCCCTGTTTTGCTGAAGTCTGAAACTAATGCTGACAGAAAGTTGTTGGAACTAGAGGCCCCAGGGCTATTGTCTAGTGATAAGAGGAGGAAGAAGTGATGTGTGGATTGGCGCACGTCACAGGCTCGAATCGTGGCGCAGACAAAAGCGTATTTAAGTGGAGAAGGGTAAAGGCATCCATGAGTTTCGAACTGTGTACTACTGGCCCTCGGGATTTCTCGGTATTCAAATTTTTTTTTGTAGGAACTGTAGATTGTGATGTAAGAATCTAAGTGGAACTCACAGTGTTATTAGAAATCACGAGACTTGAAGTGAAAAAGCGAGAAGTAAAGGCATACTTCGTTGAAATGAAGTGCACAGTTCATGGAAGATTAAAAAGTACCAGACATATCTGAATTAGTACTATAATAAACAAATATGAATCAAAATATCTAATTTCAACATCCAATATATGATAATGCTGATACTAATCCAACTCCTCAAAGTTGAGATTCAAAGAGTCGAGAACAACGTGTTGGAGTCACTTTGCGCGTCATCGTTTGAAGCTGACACATCTCTGAAGCGCATCTTCACCTACGAAGCGGTTACCCCTTCGCTTCACCTTGCTTTATCGCTTTAAGCTACAATGCCATAGCTTTAACGGCACTGTGGCTACAATGCCATAGCTTTAACGGCACTGTGTACTCACCTGCTTTGTAATGTTATTATAATGGTAAATGGATATTATATTAGGATGGTTTAATATATGAAAATGAACGTTCAGATTTGGATGAAAAGTTTATTTATTTAAGAACATAATAAGCCACATACTGCAAATATCACTTGGAGAGCATTCTCGTCCTCATAATTTGATGATTTGATTGGATTATTAACCATCTCTTTTTGTATGAGATGTCTAGTTTCCGATGTACAATTTTTAATAGATTATGGGCACCCAAAAGAAACTGATAGCGGTTAATGAACTCATACAGAGGTGTAATTTCGCTCTCTGCGATATGTTTCTGATTGGCTTTGGTATGCACATGTTTATATTTTTTCTTGTTCGCTACCTAACAATCCTAATATCTATAACCTTGTTTAGTTCAACAATTCAGGTGATAGCTAATTTAATCGTTTAGTCCATTAGGACCAACATTATAAAGTCTTAACGCATGCAATCAATATCTTCTGGTGATTTAGTCGGTGCCTTTGTCTTAATTGTATGATATTTGCATCAATTAAAATTTTACTTGATCGTTAACAATCTTTTATTTAAACAGTCAATCTGATATTTCTTTTCCTTGTGCCTTTTGGCAATCTTTGCACTTCCAATAGTAAGTGTTTTTGGGTGGCTTGATAACATTTACATCACCAAAGTGCAGGTCGAAGAACTGGCCTTTCTTATCAAAGATAATCTTCCTTGCAAGCATCTTATCCTAGCTGTGGAAGAGACCCTAGTCAATTTCCTTCTTGATGATACCAGGTACATTAGCGGGAAGAGTTAATCAAGTACAGAGATTATGAAGATGCCAACTTCTTACTCTTAACACCCAAAGCTTGTAGCGTCAAAAAACAAGTGAATTTTAGTTGATTAAAAAATATGTGTATTCCATGACATCATCCGACAGCTAGAAAATTAGCATTTCTTGCATTATTTTGAAGAATATGAAGGGCAAAGATTATGGTTAAAGGAGTTTAAGGGACAAGTGGGTAGTTCCTTTTTGAGTTTTTGTCTTTATCTTTCCTTTCATCTCATACAATGGCACCTCTATTTCCCATGATTCATCTCCCTTACACTTGTCACATTATGTTATCCTGCTGTCCACAAGCCTAGGCAATGTTATAAGTTGTCATTTTCAATCTAAGCTTTGGCCTGTGTGGGTTCAAATTCTGATAGTTAACCTATACTACTGTATGTTCATTGAATATCAACACACAGTATCTGCACCTTGTGCCTCATTATCCCAATTGTTCTTGCCATCTATAGAATCCCTGTATGTTTTAAATGTACGCTTTTAGAAAGACTTTCTATCTATCAATTGACTCAAAAGTTTAAATGGAGCTACATGGTCAGTGAGGATTCATATAGCCGAGATCAACTTGCTTGGGATTAAGGAATACTTGTAGGTGTTGTATTTATAAATTGATTCAACACGAGAAGGAAGGGGGGAAACAATGATTTTCTGCAGATATGACTTGAAATCACTCTTTTTCTCATTGTGCAAATTTAGGTAAATATGTCTAAGTTCTTTTTTGTGATGGTGCAACTCATATTAAATCTAGTATTTTTATGCAGTTCTAGTGGGGTCTTGGAGCTAGAACCAATGAATCCATATAACCGTCTTCTCTTACATCGGCTTGCTGATATTTTTGGGTAACTGTATTTGGAATGTTGGTTGCTTTATATCAGAGTACTTTCTAAGTTAGACTGTATTTTCTGTTTGATAAGTGTATAATTGCCTTATTCTGGTAGATTTTCTCATCAGTCAGTTGGTGAAGGGGAAGAACGGCACTTGGTTTTGGAGCGTTGCTCAGAGACATCAGTGTACGTAAAAATAAAGTTGCACTACCGAAACTCCTCGTGTGAATGTTCATATTGCAGCTCTATCACCTATTCTAAACTTCTTAATTGAAATTCATGAGCACATATTCAACTAGAGCATCTTTGATCTCATGTTTATGCAGATGTTGATGTAAGTGACCTTTTAGGGTCAACAGCTTTGCAGCTTTAGCACCTACCAGTAATTCTTATCACCGGCTCTGAATATATTTGTCATCTTCGGTTAATAGTTTGCAAAAGAATTCAACCTGGACCAATGAGAACGAGCATCATTCTAATAATTTGAGATCTTTCTGGAGTTGCACCAATAGCCTCACTCGTTGTAGTCGAGTTTTCTCCAACTGAAGAAGAATGATGTAACTCAAAATATTATCATTATTTTACTGTGATATTAATTTGTCCTTAATTAGAGATCATAGCTTATCTATTAGTTAGAGGTAATATTAGTGAAACATAACAGTCATAGAGGTAATCTTGTTGAAAGGCTCCGTATTATATAGATAGGGCCAATGTGTAGTTTGTTTGAGGTAAGTGAAGAAGATATTAATCTCTTGTTCTTCCCTTCCTTTCTTTCTTCTCTTAGTATCTCTTTTATTCTTCTCTTTTCTCATATCTTTCCTGGACTTTCTCCCTTCTCTTTTTATGGTACATCATTATACCGCTACACTTTCAGCGACGCTACTTATACCCTGCGTAAAATATCTTGATCCTCAACGGTTGACCGGCCATCTTTTTTGCAAGATTCAAGGAAGGGCCGCAATAAGGATTTTTGATCTCTCAATTATCATTCTCAATAATTTCTACGTTGGTGGCGGTGCTATGGTTTCACGAGACACTTCCTAGAAGTTGGGAATTTGACCCACCTTAGGTGTCGCTGCAGGTACCCTGGAACCTAACCTCCTCCATTCTAGGCTCTATTTAGATTGTGGATATGTTGAATGATGGGATCACAGCTTTATCAGCTAATGGTTCACGTAAGCGCCTCTGTCAATGGGAGGACCCTTAGAAGTTGGAAGTGGGAGCGCCTCTTGTATACGGGAGTTCTCTCCCTTTTGATTAATACAATTTACCTTATCAAAAAAAAAAGTTGGAAAAGTACAAATGCATCCCCCAAAATTCACACCCTCCCATGCAGTTCTTTCCTCATTTGGACTACCCATTCTGAGATTATCTCCGCCTCTCCGGAGGACCCACACCCTCTGGACACATGCGCAAACACTCTTATTGCCTCTCGGCTTTGGCTGTAGAAACATAGTATAAATCATCTCAAGGGAAGCAACGGCCATGCCACTGCATCCTTATAAGATCTCATCTTGTTGGGCAAGTAGGAAAGTTTAAATACAACTCTCTTGCACTTAGCCCTTCCCCATTCTGAAGTGACACCCAAGTGCTAGGGAAGCAACCGCCACGCACTGCATCCTTATAAGATCTCATCTTGTTGGGCAAGTAGGAAAGTTTAAATACAACTCTCTTGCACTTAGCCCTTCCCCATTCTGAAGTGACACCCAAGTGCTAGGGAAGCAACCGCCACGCACTGCATCCTTATAAGATCTCATCTTGTTGGGCAAGTAGGAAAGTTTAAATACAACTCTCTTGCACTTAGCCCTTCCCCATTCTGAAGTGACACCCAAGTGCTAGGGAAGCAACCGCCACGCACTGCATCCTTATAAGATCTCATCTTGTTGGGCAAGTAGGAAGAATTGAATACAACTCTCTTGCACTTAGCCCTTCCCCATTCTGAAGTGACACCCAAGTGCCTGAAATTCTGAGCTTTAAGTGATAAAGTTTGTCATTATTAGTTCATGGTCTTCTAACATTTTTTGTGAACTCAATTTGCAGACCTTCCATTCTCATTAGTGATCTCCTGTGGCAGTATGACGAACTACAATCTCCAAGGACTGTAGATGTAATATATAGAAGAAAAGAAGGTTCTGAAGGTATTGTTTCTTTTCTAGTATATGAGGTGCTCTAAGCTTTATGTATTTCAGAACTGGTCCATAGATCAAAGCTTGAAATCAGTGTCTGAAAAACATGGAAAATATTCATGCACTTTCAAATGAAACCTAATTAGTCTAATGTCCAAAACAAGCTATCAAGTCAAAATACCTATCTAAGATTTTTTAAGATACTTATCTGTTTTTTTTAATAAAGAACAGATGCTTATCTAAGGGTTTAAGTCCAAGGTTTGATTTCAACTTCATTTGGGATTGACGGAGAGCAATTGCTTCCAGAAACAACATATTTTCTTTTTCGGTGGGTCAGGACCAACATCCGTTCTTTCTCTTTCTTTCTGGCAGTGTTGTTCAAAGGCTCATTTAAGGCTCACTTAAGCCCTGATGCTCAGAAAAGCTCGGGAGGGTGCTTGGCCTCGCTTCAGTGTAGGCAAGGCTATAAGGCGCACACACCGATTGCCCATGAATTCTATCTTGAATCCAGCGGTACTAAACAACAAATATAATCAACGAATAAGTGTATTTGTTGTTAAGGAAAACATAATGAATGAATTTATTACTTTTTCCTTAAATTGCATATATACTTTTCCTTCGTTGCGCCTTTTTTACTAAAACCCACACTTAAATTGCGCTTAAAGCCCCAATAGACCTGGAGCACTTTTTAGAGCTTTTGGCCTTTGACACCACAGCTTTGTGGTGACATATACCTTGATGCAAGAATCCGGAGTATGAGGTAGGAAAAAATGAATTTCAGCAATAATGCAGAGACTATCTGCAATATTAGCAAGTTTAAAGGCCAGAAGTAAAAGGGTATAAAGTGTATGAATTGCTAGCAACATGACTTTATCCTGTTGAGTGTTGAGCAGATGGGCTGACTCTAGCAAATATTTCAAGTTGTTCAACTTCATCAAATAACATATTTATAGTGGATAGAAACACATAAGGTATTTATGGAGGGGTCTGATTCGTTTTGTTTATACATACTTACATAGCCACTGGTTCACTTCAGCTGCATTGCAGGTCTGCAATGCCACAGTCCAAAAAATATGCTGCATCAACTTATCGTTTATGGTTGGAGAATTGCATGAACACTTAAAAATGATACACTCAATCCAAATCAGCTGAGACACCAGTCTTTACATGTTCTTGCAATTCTCCAACCAAACAAGCTATGTTGAGGCAAATACCCAAACCTTTAAAACCTTACCTTCCTTCCTCTTCCTGAAGCTGAAGCCTCTAAAACCTGGCTGTAGCAGAACATATGGTTACTTTTGTACAGTAAAAATCATTTTGCTCATCTTGAGCTTGACCTCACTAGAAAAGTGAACAAAAAAGCTCAAGTACAAATGGCGGGGCATATTATACAACAAGAAATTGCACTTGTTGAATGGATCGTAGAAGTTGGGGTTGATTTGAATGGCACATTTCGCCTTGAGCTTTGGGAAATATTGAAAAATGCATTTTCATTTCTCTGGTTCAAATCATTTTGCTCTACATCTGATTAAGAGCCTATTTGGATGGTCAAACCAGCTTTTAAGCCCTTTTTAACTTTTGAAAGTGTTTGGCATCTAGAAAAGTGGCTTAAAAAAAACTAAAATCTGCTTAAAAGCCAAAACCAACAAGTTGGGTAAATCCAATTTTTTCTTAATTGGCTTAAAAGCCATATTGCTTTGACCAAAGATATTACATTCTTATCCCTTATAATTTTTTTTAATCTCGAAATTACCCCTCAGTACAAAACTTGAAATTGCTGTTGTCTTCTTCCTCCCGAAATTGCAGCATCTACTTTCTTCATTTTACTCTTTTTCTTTCCCATATTTCTCCAGATGGAAACGTTTGTTTGCTTTCCATTTTTTGTTTTTTACTAATTTTCTTTAAAATATTAATTATTATTTTCGTTTGCTTTCTTCATACTGAAATTGGGTTAATTTTCGTTTACTTTCTTCATACTACTTTTAGTTTTTCAAATTGAAAGTGAATTAAAATATTAATTATTATGTATTTATATTATTTAAAATAAAATATTATAGTAATAAGCTTCTTAATAGGTTTAACAACTTTAAGGATATTTCGGTAATATTAACAGAAAAAATGCTTACTAACACTTGTTTACCAAACACTTTAATAGCTTTTTTTCAGCTCTAGCACTTTTATCCAAAGACGTAACTGCTTATTTATAAAACCAGCTCCAGCACTTAAAAAGTACTTTTAAGCACTTTACTTAAAAGCTACTTTTTTTAAGCCAATCCAAACGGGCTCTTATACCTCACCGCTGTCTGGATTTATTCTTTCCTGTATTTTGAGAGTAAAAAATGGAGGTGTAAATATTACTACATTAAAGTATAAGCACCAAAAACTAGACAACAAAGTAGTACATAGATAGTCGCTCAAAAACAGAATATAATCCTGGTGAGAGAATACTTCAATGAAGAATTTTCTCCTAGAATCAAATTTATTTGCGCAAGTGGATGGAGCTCTTGTTAGTTTAATTTTCTTGCAGTATTTATCTTATGCTCAAGCTGATTAAAAGTAGTCTTTAGTTTTTGGCCTTTCTTGTTTTCAGAGTCAAAGGTAGAAGAGACACCAACACCAATCTTTAACATTTCCCTTGAGGAGAGGGAAGAAGCATATCTGGCTGCCCGAAAACAGATTTTTTCTGGTGATCAAGGTGAGACAAGACAATGTATGAAAGATAGGCCTCGAAAAGATCCTATGGTTGCCCGTCGTATGATTGCACATGCACTTGGCCAAAGAATCAGGCCATCTAACCTTGAGATCCTCCATGCAAATACTGAGGAATGTGAAGAAAAAACCAAGGATGTAAATATCCAGCATAAGGACGAAGGTCGGATAAATTTGGGCAAGCAGACTCATATGGAGGTCAAAACTCCCCCTGCAAAATATCCGGATTCCGGTGGTAAGCTTAAAAGCAGCGTATCGAATGGTAGTAAAACACCACATATTAAGAAGATAACACCTAAAAACACTGATGGGACAGGTTCCTCGACGCAAGTGAAAAAGGAGGGGAAGGTTAACAAAGAGAGTATTCGTGAAGAACATATTGGTGCTGCTAAGAGAATATTTGCCAATGCTCTAGGATTTGCAAGAGAAGGGAATCTTTCAAAATGAGGTGCACCAACTTGCAGCAGTCTAAAATTGGAATTATAATGTATTCTTCTTGAAATGCTTGAAGAGTAGCCCAGCCACACAAACCATTGAAGTAATCAATGATCTTGGAGCACTTTGTGATGCTCTTGTGAAATCTGAGCCATGAGGAAAGTGACTGGTATAATTTTGTCCCAGCTTTTGATAGGTTCATTGAATTTGTTCATCAAGTAACTATTGGGGTATGGAAGTGAAAGCTACTGAATCCAAGTCATGGCCACATTAAGGTCGTAAAGCTGGTGAGGTTTGCCTCGGCTGTCTGCTTTCCTGTCAGCATCATCCGGCAGATTTTCTCTTCAGGGAAACTCTTTGGTGACCACATCCTTCATTTTCTTTGGCTTCTCCTCTTTATGATGTAAAACTTTAATACAGTTCCTTAGATCACAGACCATCTAATGAGCTTGTCTGGTTTGGTAATACCTCAAGTTTTCACTTTGGCTTTTTGGCCATGGAATTGCATGTTTATCAACGTTGTGCAGATTGCAGTGGTACACCTGAAATCTGGATTTGTTAATGAATGAGTTTTAACTGTTTAAGAGTTGCCTGGTTGGATTGGGATGTTACTCTTGTAGATTCCAATAACCACCTTTTGTTTCTCTTCTCTTTAAATATATATATGGATTAGGAAGTGTAGTTGCTATGCCAAAACACTTCATTAAAGGTACATTCATTCTACCCATCTGCCTCAGCCACAGAGGGCAAAGTTTCTCGGTACTTGTGCTAGTGGAAGATAGCAATACTCGATAGAACTATTAACAAAAAAGGAAAGAAAAAAAAAAAAGAGTAACATACAACTACTGGTATGAGAAGAACAATCATCCCAAAACAAGATAATGTTGTGGACGCCACATATTTGCCAATAATTAGCCTTCTCTAACTCTACTCTCTGAGTGTCGTTTAGATTAAAACTACTAATTTTGGATACGACAGTGTTTTCATTTGACTTTATATGACACGTTTCTTTTTCTTCTATCAAAAAATAATAATGGTATATGATAGTTTGGAACGGTTCTCTCTCTTTTAATACTTTTGCACAGGTCAGTATTTAAAATTGATTTTATATGACACGTTTCTTTTTCTTCCATCCGAAAATAATTATAGTATGATGACGATAATAATATGAAGTGTCAGTTTAGAACGGTTCTCTCTCTGACGTTGCAATTGAAGCGGAGTATATATCTGCTTCCTCGATATATATATTTATCACCTGAATAAATGTTTTGCTAGATCATGGTGATTTTTGTTATTTGAAAGAATACAGATATAATACAAAATCATTACCCTCTTGAAAGCAAGATAGAATGATAGCAACGTACCATAGCAGCAATTAAAATGGTAGACAAGATTCAATCAAAATGGAAAACAATACAATTTCAACACACACACACACACACAGAGATGATCAATATAAATTAAAGAAAGTTAGTATTGACTTGCAGAGTATCTAAACATACTAATTAATTTTTGTAGCTATTGCAATGGCCAATATAGTGTTTTCCTGATAAAACTTGTCCATATTTAAACTAATATATAATCATCAAATTTCACATATTTCGGCTGATTTAAAAGTCTATTAATTTGATTAAATTTACCATCTGAAAAATTGACATAGGATATTCCAGCATAATATGCTGGAGTTCGAATTCTTTACATATGATCTTCCAGTATAATATGCTGGAGTTCCAATATAACATGCGAGAAGTTTATATGCATGAGCTCTATAATTCAACATATTATGCAGGAACTTTCCGTGTGGTGGAGTCTAACATAATATGCTGGAAGTCTATACGCAGGAGCTCCATAATCCCGCATATTATGCTGGAACTTTTCGTGTTTCAGCAAAATAGAGACTATTTTTCAATGACTTTACAAACGCTAGCTATATTTCAATTACCAGTCCGAAAACTGGTTAGCTCATGCTATTTTTCCGATATCCCCGGCCTAAATTTCGCTGATGGTCAATCAAGTTAAGCTTTGTAATATAAACGCCATTATTATTTTTCTAAAGCCTATTTAACAGAAATATAAAGTGACCGAAAAATGTCATTTTTGGCCTGAAAAAGTGACATGGCTATCTTAATTTGTTACACTGGATCTCTAATTGATTTAATTCATATCCAAGTCTTGGTCTTCACATTCAAACTTAGCACGCTGTATTATATTATTTTGCCATTTGCCACTTCTTTTTTACTTTTTCATAGTTTACGTTTAATGTTTTCGTTTGTTCCTTTCTAAATATATCTTACAATAAGTTATCCACTACATAAAAGATGATGTCACCATCTCCTACGATTTGCAATTTGGTATAACGAGATAAAATATCTAAGAATATGTTGTTTGGTTTATCACAGATATCTTAAATTAAATATCTTAAAATTCTTATTACATACACTTTTGCAGATATATCTGCCTATGTGAGCTTAGCAGGCATGGTTGCTCATATGTCCGGATTTTAAAAAAATAAAATAAAAAAAGAGTCGTGAATTAACTGTCAATTTTAAAATAGCCTAATTATATTAATTCTCGAAATTAAATTTGCTAATCTTTATTTAGACATGCATTACATCAAATATGGGTGTTAAAATGGGTTGATTATATGATCTTTTTTATTAAGCAAAATTAAGAGTCACATTACTTTTTTGGCCAAAAATGGCATTTTCTGACCATTTTTATATTTATGTTGACTAGGTTTTAGAAAGATAATTTTTATATTATAAAAAAAATATTTTTTGAGCTACAAAGCTTAACTTGAATAACCATTAGTGAAATTTAGCCTTATGAATGGCTTGGTCATCCACTTAGAATGAAATTACTAATTTTTTAAAGAACACGAGGAGAGAAACTATATGACTAATTGCACAATATTACGAGTTCAAATTTAATGGCCACCATTATTAATTTCGAGTTGCGCTAAGGGAAAAAGAGGCTTTTAAATAGTGATACGTTAATTTCCTGCTTAAAAATAAGATAAAAAAAAAATATTAAATTAGCCTCAAAATCAAATATGTAATTCTTTTGATAGGAAAATCTAATTTATCCATCAACCGGAGCTACCTTTGGTGAAGGGGTTTGTTTGAATATCCTTTCTCAAATTTTTGACTCCGCTACTGCAACAACAACTTATAATTAATAGTTAAATTGTGTCCATAGTTATTATGTTTTATAACAAATAAGAATGTATATAAATAGTTTGTACACAACGAATGCATTCTAATGTGCTTAAATTTACATTGTTTTATTAACAACTCTCACCTATATATTCTTTAGTCTTACCAATCTTGCAACTGTATAAGGAAGAACGCCCTCATCATAGACCAAAACACTATCCATTGTTAAAAAATTTAAGGCTCCTTTGGTTTACCAGAATATTTCAAAAACGTTTTAAAAAATCATAGCTAAATTCGTCTTTGTAAAAACATAATTTGCTTGATTTCTAAAAATCAAATTAACTAACATGTTTCTGTAAGTCAAAAACAAGCTAATCCAAGTTTCATTAAAAAAATTAAATCCTTCTGTCCCAATTCATGTGACTATTTCTATTTGGATAGTCAAATAACTTTTTTCTTTAATTGAGATCTTTTAAAATATTTAATTATAAAATATTATCATTTATATGCTTTTTATGTAATGTCATGATCTAAAATCTCACCTTAAGGATTGTAATGACACCTAGTTTCTATAACAAGGTAAGTCGATCAATTACAGCAGTTAACCAATTAACATGATATTTTAAAAGACAGAGTTTAATATAAATACTGAAATAAAGGTGATACAAGTCTATCCGGCAATAATCATAATAATCTTCCCAAGACTAGGTAGAACAGAGTCACGAACTCTAGATGAATACATAAAAATATCTCAAAACAAAATATAATACTGTTCGAATAGCAAATTAACAGTACAATCAAAAGGAAAAGAACTCCAAGGGACTGCAGCGATCGAGCAGCTCTACCTTGATCCTCGCGATCAGGAAGCTAACACTACCTAGGTCCACAGCCTCCAACACTTCGATCTGCACAAAAATGTGCAGAAGCGTAGCATGAGTACACCACAATCGGTACCCAGTAAGTATCAAGACTAATCTCGGTGGAGTAGTGACGAGGTACAGTCAAGACACCTACTAGACATAACAACATGTGCAATATACCAGTATAAGGCTAATGATGGAAGCAAGAAATAATAAATGTGGCATCAAGGAATAAACATGTAGTAAAACAGTAAAATAATCCGAACACGATTAAGGTACATGAAACCAATTACGGAAAAATAAATGACAACCAAATAATCAAGCCGTTCTAATACAAGGTTCACAACAAAATTTACTCCGAGGTACCACTCCCCCTAATCACAAGCCACAACTCCCAAATCACAACTCATATACACATAGCACCCCATGCCCACATCATCAATCACAACCAAACAGATAACTCACGTGCCAATATCTCAATCCATCTGGCATGGTCACAGGCTTTCTATCACAATCTTCCCGGCGTGGTCACATGCTCAATATTACAAACCGTCCGACGTAGTCATATACTCAATATCACAATGAAAGCAGATATACAAGAATACATGTGCATAATCAATGTATACCAAGTTTCATATTCCTGAAGTGGTTTAGTTGACATGTTACGGTGTATGCATGTTCAAGTGTAGTATTATAGCCCAAGTCAATAAGTTATATCAAAGACATCGAGTAGTTCATTGAAAACAACACAAAAAATCACGCAATATGCATAAACCACACAAGGTAAATCACACCATCACACGTATATAATAAATAATATGCCCTCAGGCCATCATGTTTCATCCCTGATATATCCACCCTTATTCCACTGCATTGACAATATCATACTAGCCACTCGTATCGCTCTGCCCAGAAAATAAATACGCTAGCCACCTGTATCACTCCGCCCAGACAATAACACAATAGCTACTCGTATCACTCCGCCTTGACAATATATCACAATAGCCACATGTGTCACTCCGCTCGAACAATATAATAATAGCCACTCGTATATATTCGCACAATCAACAACCGTGAGATGTCACCCTTATACTCCGCATAGCAATAATCAATCCACACAACAAATTCACATGTGCCAAAATCATAACAACATGATGTATGAACTCGTACCACTCGTGCTCATAGGCCACAATATTTTTAAAACATCAATACATATATCGCCGCAACACATTGTCACACCTCCTTTTTCCGCGCCCGCGGGGCACATGGGGGAGTTTTTTCCAATTAAAGGACAATCGAAACGGGATTGGTTTATTTATTTCAGAGTCGCCACTTGGGAGATTTAAGGTGTCCCAAGTCACCAATTTTAATCCCAAATCGAGGAAAATAATGACTCTATATTACAGTCTGCGTACCAGAAATCCGGATAAGGAATTCTGTTAACCCGGGAGAAGGTGTTAGGCATTCCCGAGTTCCGTGGTTCTAGCACGGTCGCTCAACTGTTATATTTGGCTTATTTATCTGATTTTAAATACAATTATGAACCAATGTGCCAATTTTAACTTTTTG